CAGCGAGGAGCACCGGCAGCTGCACAGCAGGTCGGTGCCTGGCCCTGAGGCGCAAGAGGTGGCTGGGTGGCCCCTGCAGCCCTGGGTGCTGGGGAGGCACTGCTGCGGGGTGACCAGGGTGGTGTCACCCCCCTGTCATGGCCCAGGGGGCCTTGGTTAGCAGGAATCCCAGTGTGCCCTGGCATGGGCTACAAGGATGCTGCTGGGAGCACCTGCTCCTGTGCTGTTACGGGGTTGCAGTAGAAGCCCCCTGTGCTGGGCACAAGGTGTTGGGAGACCTTGTGGAGGGTTGTGGTGCTGCATGGATGTGCGACTGACTGGGGTTGCCACCACAGCAGTGTCTGTAAACACCTGCTGCCATGCTGGGAAGCATTTGGAAAGCTACAAGGATGGGGAAAGGTACTTCAGTGTGGAGTTTGCATCACCTCTTAGAGGATTGAATGCCTGAGGGGACTAAGCAAAGAGGCTTGTCCTGTAAGCAGTAGAGCATGAGTGGTTCTTACCTGGTCCAGGCTGGTACTGCACAGGACTTGTCCTAGTGGCTCTTCCTTCTTCAGACTGGGTTAAAGTGCTACCGGGATGAACTGTCTGCTGTTTCAGGCTTGACTTGCTATCAAGTTGTGTATCCTGTGCTTGGCATCTCCTTGTCATCTGGTTCCTAGAGGCTGGAAAAAGGTGGTGGCCCAACATCAGTGCAGTTGAAACTCCTTGAAAGAGAAGTGTCTACTTACAAAATGCCTCCTTTGCAACAGATAGTAGTGCCACCTCTCTGCACTGCCTAAGTTACTTACAGCTATATAATGATTTGGATGCTAATAAGCCCCCTACATTTTGTTACAAGCTTTATTGCATAGAACTTTTAGGTACCAGCTTTTTCTGACTCTTCATACATGGTACAAATGCTGCATCCTCATGGATTCAGTAGGCTTTCAGTAACCTCTTCTACTTGAAGACAAACCTTGTTTTTACTCTAAGCTTCTGTTTTCAGCTGCTTAGAATACCTTGGACTTGTCTCATTCATGCCAGATTTTGGCTCATAGGACTGTTTCATAAATCTAACTAGGCACTTGATTGGATAGTGAGAAGGCTAATGCCAGTTCAGGAATTTTTCTGCTGCTCTGTGTTTGTATAACTCAGTGGCTTTGTTTATAAAGCTTTAGTCTTGGCAGGTATGTAATCCTCTGGACTGATAAAACTTCTTTAAAGTAGCTATCTTAAAATGGCTAACTTCATAACCTGCAGGAAATGATACAAAGTATATGCTGCTTTCTGAAAGGCCTAGGCTAGAGTTATAGTATTAATGTGTATATGTATCTGGGCTGTCTAACTGCAAATGTCTCAAATGACTTGGAACAAACTACTTTGAGGGTATCATGCCCTTTATATAAACCCTTTAAATAACTTGGAACTCTTATAGGATGGAATGTCACTAGATAACTTTCCCAACAGCATTAACCATTGACTCTTATTAATCACCCTAGTAAAGAGGCTAAGTTTCAGCAACAATGAAACATATTTACATTTAAGCTATTTTGTTTTTATGTCTTAAACAGTGCTAGCTGGAAATGGGCCAAAGATGTTTGGGAAGCAGGTGTAGTGGATAAGTATATCAGTTGTTTGAACTTGGAGCCTGAGGAAGGTCAAAGCAGGCACAGCAGCACAGCAGAAACAGGACTGGTTTCCTTGCACACCCGTGTCTGTAGATATGTTTTGAACATGCAGTATGTGCTGTAGTAAGTTAAAGCTCTAAGAATGACTTCTGTAAGTGATGCTAATCTGTGGCCCTTGCAAGTGGCATTTATTTGAACATTATATTGGCTTAAATTTCTTGAAATCAAGTTCTCCAGGTCAAGCAAGCTATGACATACATATCCTGGAGGATATAATTGGTATGTGATGGGCAATAGCTGAAAGCTACTGTCACAAATAGTTGATAGTCAATAAAGCCAGGGTTAGGTCTGGAATGGCTTGTGCAGATTTGCAAGTCTGCACATCCAAGGTTGTGCAGTACTATAGCTTCTTGCTTTATATCAATGCAAAGTGTTGTTCTGAATTTCTTTTAGAAGGGTAGCAAACACTCTTGTTGGAGTCAGGCTTGTTAAATTGTTGCTACTAAAGTCTTCTGAAAACATATGTTGGGAAAGAATCAAGAAACCTGAACCAGTCTCAGAGGCCTGCAGCAAAGTAAATGAAAAACCCACAGTTAAGCACAGATGCTAATGGCATATTCTTGCACAATTTTAGGTGACTGTGGAATGAATTTGAACTGTAAAATGAAACTGATACAATAAGTATCATTACTATACTTGTTAGTATCAAACCAGGTGATACTCACAGTGACAGTGATAGCAGAGATGAGAAGAGGAAAGTGGAAATAAATGCCTAGTATAACATTGTAGTTTTTCTATTTACAGATATAGTTATCATCTCATTGATCATCGCTACCCCCAGTAGAATTATTCTTTTCTAGTATCTGAGTAAACAACTAATTTTTTTGAATAAAGTTATTAAAATACCATGACCACAAAGTATGGAGTCAATCCACAAATATCTTTTAAAAAGCAGGGCTGGAGGAAGCACCTCACCAAGCCTCTCACCCCAGGCCTGTATAAGGACCAAGTGTACCTGTGGCAGAGGTTTGTAGACCTGCTCTCCTTTCTAGATGATGGAGATTCCAGATTATCCCCAGGCAACCTGCTTTGATGATGAACTACTATTAGTTTCCTCTTCCTAACATCTAACCCAAATAAACCCCCCTGCAATGTAAGTCTACAGCTTCCTGTCTCTTCCACAACAGACATGGAAAAGAGATTCCCTGCCTCCATGCTGCTGTCTTTTATGTATATAGAGACTGTTATGGCTCCTGTCACTTTTCTCTTCTCTAGACTAAACAACTCTTACTCTTTTTCCGCTCTTTCCTTGCTGTCCAGGCTTTCTAGAGCCGATTGCTCCTGTGGAGTGACTCTGGCCTCCCTCCAGCCACTCTGCTCAGTTATCAACTGGAAAACTCATTGTATAAATTATCACAACCTAGTTGCTTGGTAGAGCATTTTTTTAGCTAGAATGCTATTCTCTGATTTCAAACTTGATTCCTGAGCAGGAAGCTGGGCTCTGGATGTGGATCAGACAACTGCAAGGGTGTAAGGTAGATCTGCTGGAGGTTATTGCCCCTTTCCGTGCCACGAACTTGCTGCAGGGACCAACTGTTGCCCATTGGGGGCCACGTAAAACTGGCCACTTAGTGTTCATGCCACAGGCTGCTGTGGAGGGAAGCGGCCATCTTGCAGCACGGTGCCCTCCAGGGGCCAAAACTGCTCCATGTTGAGTGACCCGCTGCAGGGGGACAGCAGTGACAGGGCACTTCACCCCACAAGCTGTGGTGTGCCTGGCCCCACTGCTGAGCTTGTCCATGGCCTCCCTGTCCTGGTGGGTGATGGTGCTGGGCCCTCTGCTGAGTGCTCCCACCCCGGGGCTGTCACTGCTCCGTGGTTTGGCTCGCCTTTGTGCCGTAAGGCCGGGGTTGCTGCTTGGATGCCATCTTGATGGAGCTGTTCCCAGCTCTCGGGGTAGCTTGGCGGTCCCCCAGGAAAGGGCAGCCTGGACTTTCCCTCCTCAAAAATGTTTCCCTTTTCCTCTGCTTCAGTTCTACCACAGGCTTCAAGGTAATGGTAAATATAAAAAAAAAACCTGTTTCTGTCTTGGCAGCTGATGAGTGTAAAACTTTTAACTTGTAGGAATTCAAAGAAAGAAGCGGATCTGAGCCTGGCACAGGCTCGCGTGAGGGACCTGGATGCTCAGCTGAACGCGAAGGAAGCCGACCTTGCGACAGCTCTGAACGAGAACCGGAGCCTGGAGAAGGACCTGCAGGAGCTGAAGGATCAAGTGGTCACTGTAAGGCTCATTCCCAGCACTTTTCTACTTTGGCTCTTGCTTTCCCAAATTAGTTGACTGGCATTTAAAAGCAGGCAAAAACTTATCTATAACAAGTTCAGGAGGGCAAAAGAGGACTCACTGATTCTTACCAAAAGCAAATGATGCTAATCATTGGTTCACTAAAATGTCCTGTTGCAAGCGCCCTTAACTTTATCCAATGGCTGCAATATGCAATCCTTTTTCTAAGGGCAAATCAAGTTGAAATGAGTTAATTTGCTACAGCCTGTGTATATGTCACTAAACGGAGCACTTGATAGACCATTTTTATCCTTAAATCTTGGTAGAATAAGTAAATTCTCACTGCTTTAACAAACTCTTATGCTACTGAAACGAACTCATGATTGCTTGAATTGCAACTCAACCAAAGTGTATTACAACAGCTAGGGTCCTAGAAATGTGCTATGTTGATACTTTAATGTCATCATTGAACAGGCTAGTTTGGGATTTCCACAATGAGAACTAAAGCTTTTTATCATTAAAATAACACATGCCCATATTGAGTGTGTCTAATAGCTTGCCAACATAGGCTGTATTTGGGGGATATCACTTGCTAAATATCAAATAAATGACACTGGAATTCAGGCAGAAGTTTAGAGCAGTTAATATTGTGTAGGGGAGGAATGTATGCAGATGGTGCAATTGATTTATCTGAGGTCTACTTCCTGGCCTTGAAATAATACAGCAGTAAAACTTAGCTGGTGTGACTGTGGGATTTTGCATACTTAACCCTCTGAATAATGCAATTAAACAGGATTCCTTCTGTTGCAAACATGCTGGATCCCAAAGAATCAGAAAATTAAGCAGCAGAATTACCAACTTCACCTAAGAGAATTTTTTGATTGCTGTAAGAATGAAATTGAGTGGTTTGTATGAAGTTGGCGGCTTTTATTTGGAGAAACAACTTGTTAATTTCAATTACCTTGATGTCCATCTCTTCCAGCTGAAGCTCTCCCTGGAGGATACCAAAAAGCATCTCCACAGTGAAATGTTGAGGAGAGTGGACCTGGAAAATCAAACGAAAACTTTGCAAGAGCAAATGACATTCGAGAAGTGCCTTCATGAAGATGTATGTTTTACCTTATTAACAAGGATTCTTGTAGGTGTCATGACCCCTGGATGCCCTTAAAAGCAATATTACATGTGCTTTATCCTTAAAAAGGTAACTAGCTGAGTCAACCTATGACAGTTCACCAACAATTTAAAAAAAAAAAAAAAAAAACTAACTAGGAAGACTTCAAGAAAGTACACAACCTCATGTTAACTGGCATAGTACCAATAGGTATCTGGAGTATGAGAATTTTCTCAGACTGCACTTCTGAAGGTAACTACTATCCCAATATACTACTTTGTATAACTAAAAGTACAAATGTTACAGTTGAAATTAAGTGGTTCCAGGTGTTGGCTAGAAGCCTAAAAGCTTCAAAGAAGCTGAATCTCTTCTAATAAAAATCCATGTTCCCCACTTTTTTAACACTTACCAAGGCTGTCTAGTCAACTTTGTGAAAAGTCAATATGTAGCACAGAACTAAATAATATGTAAATTAATCTCCTTCTGATTGGAATGAATTCCAAAGCATGTGTGGTTAAGTAGTAGGGAATCTGAGTTAACCCAGCTTTCTCTTGAATAAAATAAGAATAGGAAAGACAATTCTTAAACTGAACTCTACATGCATGTCTTCTAACTATAAGAAAAGTTAAGAAATTAATATACTTGAAAGGATTCGTCTCCAAACTAGTTGCACACTACTGCTTTTCATAGTTTCAGAGCCATGTTGGCAGTGAGGAAGCCAAACAGCCCAGCATGCCTAGATGGAAGTAGGTGATCTAATGGACAAATGTTTAAGTTCCGTGAATAAAAATATATTACCATGTACTTGATAAGTCTGCTTCAGTGTGGAATGAATTGCTAAGCTGTTACAGTAAGCCCACAGTCTCAAACTGAGCTGTGGTGGTTTGCTTATTTTCTGAGAAACTTGTTTTCCTCCTAGGAGCTCAAAGAGACAAAAAGGGTCCATGAGAGCAGGATAGCAGAAATGGAATCTGGTCGTCAGAGAGAATTTGAGAGTAAGCTCTCAGATGCTCTGCAAGGGCTCAGAAAACAGCATGAAGAACAGATTCAAGGATACAAAGAGGACCTGGAACGAACATGCAATGCAAAAGTGAGTGTGCAGAAGCCACTAAAACTCAAGCTCTGAACTTTGATGTGATTGAATTTACAGCATAAATAGCTGAGTGCAAAAACTTGCTTTCAGTACAAAACTTCCTGTTGTGAATGTGAAGGGTAATCAACTCAGCAGCTATGGTAGAATCTCAGAACAATGTCAAATATTTGACAATTAAACTTTCTGTCCACAGACATGTATTGTTTAAAATGAAACTGGTTTAAACATAAATGGTCCCTTCAAGGGACATGGTATGGGATGGCAAATGTAACCAAATTGATTGTAATTCAAACTATGGATAAATCTGAATACAAGCCTGATGAAGTTAGGTGTTCTGTTAGTATTAAGCAACTACAATACTACTGAATAAAAGTTACTCTGATTTAGAAATAACTTAGTGTTGGGGAAACTGTTCAGAGCTACTGAGGAAGAATAACATTTGGATAAGGACACCTAATGTCATGTAGTTTCATGCTTTGACAAGCAGCTTCCTACCTTATTCCCAGTTTCTCTTCTGGAGAATCATTTATTTTATTTCAGATCTGTACAAAATCTTTACACATCTCTAATTGACCTATCCTAAACCAGCACCTTTAATTACCTGATTATTGCTGACATGATATCAAAATCATGTAAAACCCCTGAAAAACAATGAAAAATCTCTTGTCCTGGAGTTTATTGGTATCTGCACAGCTAAGGAAAGCGTAACTATTTCCAGATGTAATACCCTGAAAATCACTTTGTTTTTCTCTTCCTATTCAAAATGGAAGGTCATAAGTAACCCTTTACTAATGGTGACTTATCCATAGATAGAGAATGCCCAACTGTCTGCAAAAAGAAATAGTGACTTTGCCAATGCTGCTCGGGAGGAGCTAATGGAAACAAAGCTGAGAGTGGATATTCTGACATCTCAAGTTAATCAGTATCAAAACCAGGTACTATCTATATTTATACATACTTAATATCATTATTTTAAGCTTGCCTCTCTAATCTTCAGTTATGTTTTAACTGATTTTTTTCTCTTTTAATTTTAGAATGCTGCTTTGGAGAACAGGATAAAGGAGCTACAGGAGAGACTGGATTATGATCGTGATCTCCATCGAAGACGTATGGCAGAAAAAGAGGAAGAAATGACACAAGTCCAGAAGCAGGTACAAGCACAGTTGGAAGAATATGAGCATCTCTTAGATGTCAAACTAGCTCTAGATCTGGAAATAAATGCCTACCGAAAGATGCTGGAAGGAGAGGAGCAGAGGTAGGATATGACAAAATCCTTATGTGAAGACTTGGTTCATCTAAGACCTCTATTACTTTACTATGTATGCTTTAGAATACAAAAATGGCAAAAAGTAAATATGACTGTGTATAATCAGTACCACAGTTTAGTTCATAAAAACTGTCTACAATAGGCTATGCTTAATTACTCCACACCCCCTTAACAATCTATTAAGAAGGTCAAGCAACTCAGAAATGTAACCAAAAGGGCTCTCAAAGCTCCACTAGACCCTCCTCCTTGGAATCATACTGAAAATCTCTCAGCATCCCAGAATATAAAATGGCCTCTTTCTCCCCATTCCTCAGACTTAGGAGATGATGCCACATATGTGGGGTAGTTATTGATGGGGGAAAAATACCAAGCACTGCTTGGAGATAGTCATTCTCCACAGGATTTACTCTGTGGAATTAAAATTGTGGGATTTCAGCATTAAAGACTATATATATAAATGAAATGAGGATATTGTATCCACTCCAACTATCCATACACTGCTTTGTGAGAACAACATGAACTCCCACTACATGCTAAGAAAGGTCAAGAACTTCAACTACTTTCACCAAAGAGTATATCCATAGAGATTTTTAATGAATACTTCTTGTAGCTGGGAATGTTTCTTATGGACATAAGTCTGGTATGAACTCTAGATTCAAGGCTGTTGTCCAAACTTAACAAGCTACTTACTAAGTTATTCTTGCCAGTAAAAATAAAATCTTATGCTGAACACTTGAGGGAAAGCTGGGATATAAGAAGCTGTTAGGCTTGGATCTCCTGGGAGGGGAGGAGCAGAAGAAATAACATTCACTTGAATATCTGTATCTGACTCCTTTCTAGGCTAAAGCTCTCACCTAGTCTATCTTCACCTGGTACCACAACTCAAACAGCAACAAGTCAAGGGCGTCGACTTCTGCATGGGAGAAAAAGGAAAATGAAAACCAAAATGAGAGGATATAGTACTGGACTTAAGACTGTTCAGCATGCTTCATCATCTGGAAATGTATCTATAGAAGAAATTGATACAGAGGGAAAATTTGTGAGGCTTAAAAACAACTCTGAGGAGGTACTGCTACTCATTCAAGTCTGCATTCCCTTCCTTAAGTAGGGCTCCTTGTGAATGACTTGTGGCTTAGTGAGATGGAGTTTGGGAAGAATAAAAAGACTGCCCACCTAAATACTGAATGAGTCTTCAACTAACCTGGCTCCTGTCAAGGGCAGAGTGTGTAAAATGACTTGAACCTTGCAGGGGTTTTACTCAAGGGCTGTTGAAGTGCCTTTTGGGGGAGTTGCACTGGCTTCTATCATGTGGAAGTTTTCAGTTATTTCTCACCAGATTCAGTATAGCACTACTGGAAATACTTTTTCCTTGATGAATTGTATAATATGCTTAGTAAATTGGATAATTACTTAGAGGTGCTTAGAGCAGCTAAAAGGTTGAATAGGACTGCTGGTCCTATAAGGTGTACAAAGAAGGTTTCTCTGATTAGCCAACTTTTCAAACAATGTAATCTGCAAATTTTGAATTAGAATTTCTCAAATCTTGCAATTAACTCTTCTATAATGTGGTGTTGGTCTGCAATGCTGACAAACTTCTTATCCCATAGGATCAGCCACTGCATGGATGGGTGCTGAGACGACGGCTTGGAAGTTTCTCTGATGCAACATATAAATTCCCTTCACAGTTCACCCTTCAGGCAGGCCAAATAGTTACAGTAGGTAGCTGCTTTGTAGAACTTATTCAGAGCTCTATTTTTGTTATTGTGGATGGACCAGTTTTTATAACAAAAAAGCTATATTAATGTCCAAGTTTCTTGGTATTCTGTGCTCAGAGAACCAAAAGAAATGATGTAGAGAGGAGAGATGGGAAAATTCTTGCAATGCCTTGAGCTGAAATGCCAATTAAATATTCTTTATAAGAGTAAGTCTTGGAGAATGTGGTTTCCCAAGATTGGGATGTGTTGTTTTTGTGAATAAAATCAAACTCTATTTACTGTTAGAGCTCCCCATGCTTTGTCAGAAGATTTGCAAAGACTTTTCCTGCTACTATCACGTCTAGTCTACTGCAGTTCAGCAAGACTGGACTCAGTGGTGTTAAGCTAAACATTAGCTAAAAACCTTATTCTAAGTAGGTCTAGAGAAGTGTTCAAAAAGTGTAACTCAATTCTGTACTCCAAATTATCACAAGTTTACTCAAGAGGTCTGGTAGTGACTGCAGGTTAGGGAATGCCATCTTCTGTACACAACTTGCAGACATGAGGAAATCTGATGGTGATTTTTGCTCTGTGACCCAAATGGTGTGTATGTCCAAGCATGGCCACCTCTTAATCAGGCAGAAGCTGTTAACAGGTTTTTTTCTGTACTAAATGAAGCACAAACTGTGCCATGGAGCAAAGCGGCTTAATTTATATTACTGGACATCTTTGGGAGTGTTTGGGATTCAGAATAATGAATCCTAATCTAGCTATGAACAAGACTCTTGAACTCACTTATCTGTCTGCAGATCTGGGGTGCAGATGCTGGTGTACGCCCAGGTCCTAGTGATCTGATCTGGAAGTCTCAGTCCTGGGGAAAAGGGGACACTCTGGGTGTTACACTCATCACAGAGGCTGGTGAGGTAAGTGAAATAGCAACTAGTTATAATTTCCTGATACTGAGTTTTCTTGATGTGATTAAATCTTGAGGGGATGAAGGGGTCTTGGTGGGTAACACAAGTCTAATCTAGGAACTGGCAGAGAGGAAGATAATGCATGTACCCAGAGGAGAGGAGAGCAGTGAGCAAGATGAGTGTGAGGAAGAAATCACTGGAAGTGAAATGGAGCTTCCATCTCGGGTAAGCAGTTCAAAGTTTAAATACATGCTATCAACAATTATTTCATGCCATTACTACATCATTACATTACTACATGAAGCATTCCCTAAGTACTATCCATATCCTACAACTCTTCCCATTTTTCTTGATGTCAGAGCAAAAAAAGAAGAAAAAAGAAATGTTGTTTGGTTTCATGATAATGGCTCCTGTGGGCATCCTAAAGCAGGTGAGATCAGTGAGAGAAATCATGCCTGTAGTCGGGTAGGAAAGCTGTGCCATTAGTGCTGCGGTCTCTTGTCCCATGTAGGATGTAGTTGCATGGCTTTGCATCAGAACTGCAATTGTTGTCTTGTTTCTTTTTCTGGTGGCGGAATATGATTAAATAGCACTAACTGTCGGGTCTTATTACTAAAACATCCACTGCAGAGCACTAGCTCTAATGTCTGTTCCATCTAAACCTGTGTCTGAGCATGAGTAAGCTGAATGTTTGAGTTCCCTTCTAGGAATAATAGACACTAACAAAATGTTTCTGTGGGGTTACTTATCTGATGCTTTAAACAGTTTCCTGACTGACTCTTGAAAACTTAAATTCACATTGAAGAAAGCTAATAATTCCAAAAATGTAAAAAGCCTGAAATCAGTTTTGGGTGTATTGATTTGCCTAAGTACTTCTGAAACTCAAACACGAGTTTGAGGCACTTCAGTGCTGGCTCACTTCTAAAATTCTTCTTAATTTGCACAGCAAAATAAGCATCTCAGCCTTAGATATCCCTTCAACACCTTTCAAGTGAAACTAAAACAGATGTAGGTCATGCTAATGGAACTGACAAATAGCATAGGCATATTTTGGTTGAATTATAGCCCTTTTGCTGGAGCTTACATATTTCAGTGTCTCTAAAAGACTCAATAGCCCTTCCAAATAGCTTTTGATGTATTACTAGAATTCTAAACTTCTATTTTGAATGTTCCTTGTGTGCTTCGATGTACTAAGTCAGGTATCTAAGTACTCTAAAATACAACTACTATGAAGGCTTTAAATCATAACTGAACCAATCCAGGAAAAGCTAGTTTTCCAAATATGAAGCTAACAGTCATGACGGCTGGTGTGATGGAAAAGTTAAAACTTTTAGTCTGTTTTATCAGCAGCTTTACAACAGAACTGTGAGCCACTTATGGTAATAATACATTCCAATACTCCCACTCAAACGTTTGCATCTGTCCTTTCCCATGTGGATTTTCAGTCAAAGTCCTCATTATTACTGCCTATCTGCTTCTGCCACACCAGCAATATAAAAATGATGGCAACTTGGTCAAAAAGTTCATTTGCAAAGGCTAGCATGAATCTGAGGTAGCATGAAGCTGCATGCCAGAAGAGTTGAAGTAGCCTTTAATTAAGGAGGAGATGGCCCATGTATTGCATGGACTCAAATTCTGATTTTAGTTCTTGCTTTCAATCACTGACTTCCATTAGTACAGTGGGTAATATCCTGCCTCCTAGTCCTGTTTTATTAACTAAATCTATCAAATTATATGTAAGACATATTATAAGAAGATTGTAAAGGTAAACCATCTTGTTTTTAACTAGCTTGCCCTGCAATAACATCTTAGGTTTGTTTGTGTGGTAGTTACTTGATCCCTTGTTGTCATTTCTGCAGCAGAATGAGGACCCTAGCTGTTCCATCATGTAACGAAGACAAAGTGATAATCGTCTAAATACATCTCAGTCCAAAGTGATGTTTTAGACTACATGTGTTCTACTATCTCCTGCAATATCTGAAACTTGGAATTTTTCACCTCATTTGATGTGTGTAAGGAGTGTGTCCATAATGTGAGACTTCCTACCATCTGATACTGGACCCTGTCCTGGACTCAACTGTTTAAAGAGCAACAATACAAACTCCTTTCTTAGTTTTGCTCTAAACTGGAACATAAGGATCTAGTTTTCTTAACCTGCTGGTGCATGGAAGAGGAATACAGTTTACAATACTTAACGTTAGATATGTCCCAAAATGATGGCAAATACTTGAGACTGAGCAAGAGGCTGCCCAGCTTTCTGAATACTCTGCCATGGGCTTTCTCTGAAGGCAACTTCTGGTTGGTGCCTGAGTAGCAAACTACATGGCCCCGATGACAATTAAGCTTGTATCTTAAGCAAGCCTGAAGTAGGCTGGGGCAAAGAATTATCCTGAAGGGTGCTGAGTATCTGAAATGTTCCTGCTAAGATCTTGATAGTGGAATATGAAACTGTTCTAGACCACTTGTTAACTTTCCAGTGTTTCAAATTTTACAATTAAAAGCAACTTGTGAAATGTTTTTTACTTGTTATTAAATATATTATTTCTGTATAGTAGCACCTTAATCTTAGACTGGAATATCAGATATTTCTAAATACAGCATAGCTTTTACTTTCAGTTTGTTGGAACCTGAATGTGGACAGCTGTATCCTACAAATGTTTGGGGAAGAAACATCTCCTTCCAAGAGATAAGGTACTATAACAAAATTAGCCCTTTGAATGGTGCCAACAAGCCAAGCTCTTAAGAAACATGCCAAAACAGCAGAGCTAGAAAGCACCAACTGTACTAAGATACATGAAAAACAGCTGCTTCTGGAGTTCCTGTGCATTACATCTGACATAAGTAAGGGGAAAGCAGTCTGCTGTGTTGCTTGGTGTCCACCTAACCAGATAGATGGTGAGTAATGTCTCCTGGCCAGCAGGTAGCTTAATGTAACTTCCTTGGCTCTGCTGTCTGCAGCCAGGCCCATGGAGCCCGTGGAAGGGGCAGTTACCCCGCAGGGCCAGGGCCCTGCTCCTCCCTGCTGAGGGGAATGGGGCTGCTGTGGGGTGAAGGGAGGGAGGGGAGGGAGCAGCTCTAGTGCAGGCCTCCAGTGCTAGAATAGCTGCTGCCCTTCCCCGGTCCCTCACCAGTCTTCAGTGTTATGGAATAAGTGAAGCTGAAGTCTCCTCAGTGTGAGGAGGCAGTTTCTAATGTGGGGCTTGCCTTAGATGGGCTTGAAAGTTTTTTAACATAGGGTAACATAGGGCAACCACACACTAATTGAACACTTAAACTGTAGTGGATCTGAATCTTTGTTGTATGTTATGGCCTAATTTAAATAGATGCTGCTATAACCTTGCTATATTTATCTTGACCTGTTAAACTTTTTTTTTTTTTTTACTATTAAAGATTTTTTTTCTTTATCAGTCTTGGACTTTACTCTCTGCAAGTTTAAAACAATATAACCACAGAGTAACAGGTATTCTTATGAAGAAGTGTTAGTAATGTGGTTCAAAAGACATTTCCACACCTGTTTTTGTTAGATGAGACATGTATTGTAGCTGCTTTGAAGTGTCTTAAAGGGCTAGCTGCCTTGTGGAAAAGCATAAGAAAAAATTTAAATGGTGTGTGTGGGGGTGTGTGTGTGTGTATATCCATATATACTTTTTCTTCTAGGGCATTCTGGTCAGGGAGCTAGGATCTGTGTTCTTACCTCTTATGAACTATAAGACAGACCTCTTGAATAACAATAAAAAAAGTTCAGAAGGGAGAGAGAAAAAAAAAAAAAGCTCCTCAGAATCTGAGCTGAGGAATTTCTCAGTTATATAACACTACCCATCCTAAATGCTTAGATACTTAGATAATTATCTAATCTTAAATGCTGTCAAATAGCCATGCCCTCTGTTCAGACCATCAGAGCTAGTTTCATTCAGAACCTTGGCCAGGACCTGTCCCCTTCCATATTACTCCTCGAGTATTTACAAAGTACTCACCTATAAAGCGGGAGAAGCTCTTAAAAATTCCTTTCTTTGCCTCAGCAGGTGCAAATTTGGAGCTCTTCTTGTCCTGTAGGCAAAGCTGCACAGACTGAGCCTCTGCTTCTCTGTGGCCACGGTGCAAGCAGGAGGCAGCTTCATGCACTAGCCCCAAGATGAAAGAACCTGTGAAACCTGAGTTTGTCTGTCAGTCAGATAGCTGTTTTATGCTTCTTCCATGCAAGAGTATGTGCACCTTCCCTAGGGAATGCTGCTTCTATTGGGCTACAGAACCCAGGAAAGCTTCACCCCTTGAGAGTTGATTCAAGCTGCCTTGTCCATGACTTGTTCAGTTCTTTCCTTGTTGCTCTCTATCTTATCCAGAAAATAACAGGCTCAAGGGAACATGCTTCTGCATGGCTGCTGACTGTTTTAGTTATTACTATGTCCATTTCTACTGTGTAAAACATGAGAAAGCTACCAGAAAACCAAATTCCTTTTATCTTCATTTTAATGGTACTTAAGCCAAGTCTCTGTCTGCCATTAAGGCATTTTCTTTGTATGTTTTTAGCTATGGTATTTCCATCTTTCCACCTATTCTCTTCTTTCTTCTTCTCCATCTCTTTAAAAAAAAAAAAAAAAAAAAAAAAAAAAAACACTTCTCATTTATGTGCCATCGTCACTGATGTTACTCACCCCTTTAACTAAGAGTGACTGCAGAACCACAGAGCTAGGACCAGTTTGCACTAGTTCAGATCTTTGTTTTTTTTCTTCCCAGTTTGCACTCAGGTCAGATCTTTTTTTTCTCCTTTTATCCTTCTGCTGTAACAAAATGTTAGCAGAGATTGCGAACGCTATGCAATCTGTGGGGAGAAAGCAAGACTGTTAAAATTCCACTGGCCTGAGGGGTCATAAAACTAAGAGTTTGGCTGTATTCCTCTTTTTAATGTAACATTGTTTTCTTCACTGGAAGTTGATCTATTCCACAGGAAAAGTGACCTTCAGCTCAGAAACTACTGCCAGAACTATAGGAATAGAAGCAGCAACCACTGTTCTTTTCCCACAGAAATATTTATTAAGTTTGGTCAGTAAACTATAGGAATTTTCAATTCTGAGAGCTTGTACTTAGTACAACAACGTCATAATATTGACAACAACCACTTTGCCTTTTGTCAACATACAATTTGAGACATGGATTAACTTGTTCACAATAAATTACAGAGTGATAAGTGAGAAAAGCTCAAGGACATCAGTAACTTAGGAACTGGTTACAGTTAGCTTCACTTACAGTATTTTTTTAAATGCTTTTCAAGAGTAAAATCATTGCAGCCAAAGATTAAAAAAAAATCCACATACAATAATAGCAAAGAAATGCATTTTTGGAGCAACAGTGAGCTACCAGTAAACACTTCATACAGTGATCTTCAAGGCACAAAGCAAAAAAACTGGGCATGGGTCTTTTTGCAGGTTGATGAAGACAGAGAGGGTAAAATTTTTTTGAATATAAAATAAATACATTTTAAAAAGACGCATACAAAAGTCAGTAAGTCAGTCAAATAGCAAGGCTTTCACAGAATGCCACACTGATAGAACATTTGTGAATCCATTTCAGTCGAGAAATCATGTTCACAGCTTTAATGACACAATCACTGAGGCAAGGGTACCATCACTTCAACATAATTAATGGGGAAGAAGCCGGACTCTCCGTGTAACATCCCTTCATACCAATTCTCATCAATCTGATTGGTCAAAGTGATGATGTCCCCCTCCTTAAAGCCAAGCTCGCCTTCGTTTTCCGGCTCAAAGTCATACAGAGCTTGGCAGCAAGGCTGGTCCATGTGCATTGAAGAACCTGCCCCAGTGACAGAAAAGGAAATATTAAAAGAGCTTCAAAGCACCACAAGCAGCCAGAAAGCACCAGAACGATGGGACAAAACTGTAGCTCTCTGTCACAGATGTACCTTCATCCTTTTTCCTCACAATCTCTGCATGGCTTTCACTCATTAACAGCCAGTTCTTCTACGCATAACATTTGGAGTAATTAATTAAAAGCATTACTCGGTTTTTCCCTGAAATGCAGATGTCACCAGATTTTGAATGCTAGCTGCATTCCCTTTGAACAGAATAGACGAAGCACAGTCGGAGCAATCGCTGCTGAGGGGGAGGAGGTGACAGAACTGCAGCTTGGAGCACCAGGATGATGGGCACTTACTTACTGCAGCAAGTGCCCTGCGCGCACCAGGCAGGGAGCAGGGGCTCCGCTCAGCCCTGCCAGCCCGAGCTGCCGGGCGGCAGGACAGCCACCCACACACTGTTACACTCATTCATTCATATTTATGAATAGTAAATTATTCTTAGAAAAATAAAATAAACAAGTAAGCTAATGTTCAAACGGTAAAGCTCAGCTCGGTGGGAAAGGCCTTGCCAGAAGTTCAACTGAAGTTCAGCCATGACATGTTTTTAAAAATATATCTGTGCATATCCAAGTAAAAGTCAAGTCACTTGAATGTATTCATAAAGGAAGTAGAGGAGAAAAGATTTCATGCTGCTCCCACGTAAACAATAGTAAAATGCATACAGCAAGACCAAGAACTCTTGGACAATGTAGTACTTAACATTAAAGCAGTTAATAAACCTCTTTAATACTAAATTATTCCGGTTGCCTTATTTGCAACATTGCAACAATTCCCAAACATTCTCATCTTGCCTCCCCAAGCTATCACACATGCTAGTCATGCAGTCAGCTTAAGTCAGCTAATTTATTTCTGAGAAAATGTGCACACCGTTGCTAATGCAATACAGGAATAATGGCTAAGCTCTGAAAAAATGCCTATCACACTGTTTTTAATTTGCTAATCATGGTAACGTGCAAGAAAGTAAACTATTAAAAAGCCCCCTGCCTGGGCATGGCAGGAGGGAAGGAGAGAGCCCCACAAGAACACGCTGAACGGCGGCGCTGGGGGGAGCTGGGCTCCGGACAAGCTCTTGCTGAAACAGTCCAAGCAGAGAAAAGCAGCCGAGCCAGAGCCTTCTGACACAAAATCAACGGCCTGTGTGCAGAAATACCTGCAGTATTTTTTATTTTGCCAGGGTGGTGACCCTGGAAGAGTCAGTAGCAGAAGGCAGAGCTCCGAATAAATTGGCCTTGGTAGGACTAAGTTATTGCTGCGAAGCAAAGAATTTCTGACAGCAACGTACCTGACAAGAGGTCGATCACATTTGGCTCATTTTAAGCTCAAAACAACTGAAATGTCTGGCAGCCCGGATAGATGTTAACATGACGGTCACGGGCAGCACAAGCAGCTTCACTGCAGGCTGCACGATCAAAGCGTGCAGGTCGCGGCGCAGCAGCACCACTCGGGCTGCAGCACACGCTGCTTGTGTCCCACCGTTGGTCTCCAGCCTCCTCCCGACCACTAAATAACTGCTCACCCTCTACTGAGGGCGAGATTTGCAGAGAGCCAAGTGGCTAAAGAAATGTTAAGTTAAGCTACAATGTGGTGCCGACCTCCCTAACTGCAGCAATTAGGGAGCTGAAGTGTCACCCTTCACTGACACATCAGTGTGGACTCGTCTCTAGATCGGTCACAGTTGGACAGCACAAACTGAAAAAAAACCCAGAGCACGTTAAGCAAGAGACTGGCTGTGATTTCTGGAGCATAACAGGACTGAAAGCCGAGGACAATTCAATGTGAGCTTTGTCAAAAGGAACCGTCTGCACCTGCATCTCCTCCATCCTCTGCACCATGATGTGCACAGGCAGTAGCAAAATTATACTTTCATAATCACAAACCAGAGGCTTCCTAACATAATGAATCCAGGCCTCTGTCACAGCTCATATCTGTAACCATTTAGATGCTTATGTTAAATTCCAACATGCGGCAACCAGACCCAACTATCGTTTCCTAGTCAAACCCCAACAAACACAAAGCAGGAAAGGCATGACATGACACAGCCTCTAAAGACAGCTAAAATGAGCCAGATGATGCTCCTGGATTCAGCTGAATAATGAGACTGGCAATGAATTAGAACAAAAACACAGATTTGTTATCTGTGCTTAATCAAAGGAGCTAAATAATTAAGGTCATTAAGATTATGTTTCTGTGAACCTAGCCCTGTAAATATGTGCAAGTCATTCATAGCAAATAATTCCCATGTGTTGGGAACTGTATAAAGCAAAATACCATTTCTGCTGCAAGGAGATGACATTTTGCTTACACAGCTTTGGCAAAATGCAGGAAAAGCCACCTTGGCACTCAAGGAACCAGACTGTGGTGGCTGTGCTCAATGCATCCCCACTCACCCGGAGCTGTCCTGTGGATTTCCATAGCCGCACTCAAGACCTACCTTGAGTGACACTATCAGAGAAAATTAAAAGGCCTAAATTTTGATTGGAACAATCTGTAAGCTAGGGAAATAGAGCATCAAAGTACTTATCCATTTAGGATGAAAAGGTCATTTTTCTAAATGGAAAGAAAAAAGAGGGTGATCATGATACTATACCTCTACCAGATGGGGACCTTAAAACATTTAGCAGCATTTTGTTTAGAGCCACCTGGTTTGTATTTCTAAACTACAGATCATAAATCAATTCTGCTTCATGATTCTGACCTTAAAAGGATCAGAAAAAAAAGAGGAAGGTCCTCCCATTTACAAGCAGGGCATATATGGCCCACTGTAACTCCACAGAAATCCATATGGATAATTTTCTGGCATGGAACAAGAAAAGAAAGAAGCAAATAAGTAAGGATTTCATGGATGGTTGTGCCTTCTGGAATGGTAAGAAGAGCACCCACAGCACTAGCTTCTTGAGGGGAAAAACATGTATGCAACAGCTAAGCCCAACATAGATCTTTTTGATGTTATTAACTACTCTAAGCATAGCAAACGCTGTTAAATATTTCCAGCCTCCCCTTCATCTCTTCCATGGTTGGTTTGCTTTTTCCTCCCTTCTGATGACACTTACTAAGATAAGCATTAAGTGAAAACCCATCATCTACTGATAGGGAAGCAGTTTATGCCACATACTGTGACTGGAAACAACAAATGGAAATGGCTCACTCCTTTCCCACCTTAATGAACAGTGGCTGCTTATTCTTCAGTTCAGTCCTTTGATTTTAGTTCATGAGAACTGCTTCAAGCTCCCTTGAGTGCAGAGGTGTAATATCAGCATCCTACAAGCAGAATGCAGCTTAGAAAGACACTGGACGGAGCACCAAACTCCAGACCAAGCTTTGCTCACTCGCTTTCTCATTTCTCTTCTAGCTAGCTTTAAAAAGGAACAAAGTGAGGGAAGAGGAAAATGCAGACAATGCAGGGGAAAAAAAAGGACAAAAAAAAAGAAAAAGCATGAGAAGAAGCTCCTAGATCTCATGCCAAGTGGCAAGGGAGCCTTTGGCTCATTGCCTTCCCTCTATTTTCCTTACAAATATGAAAAAGTGTCTGTTTTCACGCTCTTTTTTCTGCTGAGTGTTGTCTTTTGTGTTTTGTTATCAGTCTTCTGTGATCACTCACTGCAGACTTGAAGGAGATGGAAAAAATTATTTTATTCGTGAGAGAAGGAATAGCTATTTCGGTGTACAGTAATCTTACTAATTACTACCATTCACATAGCTATCAAGGGTTTTTAACAGCTGGAGATTTTTTCGTGGAGTCAGAGCTCATCTCTAACGCAGGATGCTGCTCCAAGCCAGTGGATACCACAGTCCAAGAGCTCAAAAGTGCAGACACTTTGTTGCAAATTCTAGGGAGCTAAGGGGACACTAATGTGTGCTAAAGGGCAGCAAAAGCCTACGCTGTTCCCAACATTTCTCTTTATAAATACTTTATCAAAGCTGTTAAAACTAGTAAAGGTGAAAGTCACCTCTCTGATTTTTATGTGTCCAAAAGTTAAGATGCTGAGCTAATCATTTACAGTCCCTCAGAATGTGGAGCAAAATCAGCATCTGGAGAGCCGCCGAAGGTGACGTCTCCCAGGCACCTTAGGCCCCTCTCTTTGGAAGAAAGAAACTGCTTTCTGCAAGCGCCCTTCCCTTGCTCTCCTCCACCATCCTGGCTGTACAGAGGGGTTAAGAGGCCAAGCTTGAGCTCTACACCCACATTTCAGATGGCAAAAGAGAGTTAAGAGGTAACCTGCAATGAGAGTCCACTTCCAAAGTTAGGAAACAAACTGGAGCCAAATACTTGGATACTGATCCCTCACGGTCCATCATTCCCATGGTACAAGCAACAATCCAGCGAAGTGTCTATCAACACATTAATTTTGCAGCCGCAAGTTTACCTGATGATTTTATTGAAGAACTATAAGCAATCCCATTGTGCTGCTGATTATCACCGATTTCCAGGGTTGTAGTTATTACAGGCTTTGACTTAAGTTCACGTTTAGGCCGACTAGATGCTACATTTATTCTGCAATATAAAGAAGAATAACAAGAGATTTACTTGAAGAAATGGGGTTTCTACTCAGGTGCAGTGCTTTGGCATTTGAAAGGCAGGGAAAAGCCTTCTGTTGTTTTGGGGAGCTTGCAATTTATTCACAAAAAGCTGCTCAAATCTGATGCAATATTTGAATTTCATCAAGTCCCTGCCTCACATAATGCAGTGATTCTGTTGACAGAGGGATAAAGCTTAACAGCCTGACTTTAAGAAGTGCTGAACATCCGCAGCTGCCACTGAGGTTCCGCAGGAGTCCCAGGAATGAGCTGCCTGGAAAGCGCAGCTGCAAAAGACACGCAGAAACGCCGCCAGGACAGAGGCCCGGGGACTGCGTCTCACACGCTGCTTTTTTGTTAAAGAAAATGGGAACCGGTGTCAGCACAAGCGCCGCGAGGGCTCGGGGCTCTCCCTGCGCCTGCGCGGGGCCCGGCCGGCACCGCTGCCCGGGGCGGCGCTGACGGGCACGACGGCTCCTGCGCGGCGCTCCCGGCCGCCCCGTCCTCAACACCACGGGTATGAGGACTACGCTGTGGTGACATTCGGGCCATCGACGCCTCCCATCTTCTGTTGGTTGTGATGAACAACGTATAATAAATTAACGATATAAGCATGTTTTTTTTTTCCTCCTGATAGCACGATACAAAGTGTCTGGGCCTTTCACCAGTGCATTACGCCACGATTGTGCTCCTAGCCAGCTGGCAATTTCCTTACACTGCTGCAGAATACCCCCTAATCGCACGAAAACAGGCCAATTTCTCAGCAAAGCTTCCAAAATACAGCTCAGAAAGTGCAAATACATTTAAACCTACAAACAAATGGAGGCTGTCCTGATTAACCCTGCAAAAGGGAGCAAGGGATCTGCACTTGCTCAGAGCTTTCTGGGCAGGTAACTGCTGTGCACTTCAGGCTCACGGTGCATCAACACTGCCAGGAGGCAACAGCTTAAAGCAGTAAAATCCAGTAAGTAAGGTGCAGAGTGCAGCAAATATGTATTTATGAGATGGTACTACAAAATCTGCTGCTTTAATATCTTTTCTCATCTATAAACCCCTGCTGCAAAAGAGGTTCAAAGTGTTCTGATGGGTGCAATCTTACCGGTTTTGCAGCTTGCTCTGCAGATCCTCCAATATTTCTGTGGATTGTTTATGGTAATCTAGCGCTGCTTCTACAAACACGGCCAACTGGCTAACTTGCTCTACCTGAAATCCAGAGAGGAAAATAGTTTTCAGTATTTTGCTGACCGATAAACAAAAAGATCATTCACAACAGACCTGCTATCTCAAAGACCCTGATGCCTTGTAGGGGCTATTGAAAATGAACCTATGTGATTCCACCAGAGAAACTGCCAGTTGGAACCTGAGCAAAACTAAGGTGTAATTTCTAGTTCGCTAACTCGGGGCTGGGTCCTGGAGTCACTTCCTTTCACACTGTGCAAATCCCTTTTACTTTCAACTTCCAAGCCAGCAGCCTGTCAAGCCTGAAACAGTCAGAGGACACAACTCCTTAGCAGACAGAAGAGGGCTTTTCTGAGCAGCAAGGCGGGGGAAACGAAGCTCTGACAGGTCTTGTAACTGAAATCCATTCGTGTTTACTAGTGATGTTTACAAACTGCAATTCTGAACTGGTTCACACTTACCTCACTAGATGGCAGCATTTATAAACTGAAAAATGAAACATGATTTATCTGCTTGGATTTATAAAGTAATAGCCAATCGTTCAAGAATAAGAATGCTGGAGAAAAGGTGAATGAAAAAGAAAAATATTTTTATAGACCAAATAACAATCCCACCTCTAATGCAATGCGAAAAGCTGAAGCTGTAATACAGCTAGAACAGTAACAGATTTGCCCTCTTCCTTTCAGATGACTTCAGGAGGACAGACCCCAAGCAGTGTGGCATGTTCCCATTCCAGCACTGCATCCTCGGACACTGGACTACAAGAAGGTATCTGAAGATATTTTCTGCAAATGTTTTATGGACCCGAGGCTATTGTGTGCTATACTTGGTCTGCTTTTACTCACTTGGAAAGACTATTAGAAATTCTGCTGGGAGTCCAGGAGAGCCAAACCCTGTCACACAGTGTACATAAATGAAACACAGACCCAAATCAACAGCTGATACGACTCCATCAAAGTCAAAAGAGAGTAATGGAAACCAGCTGAGGATAATACACAAAACGCCTGGATTTTGGACGGGTTGGTCAGAGAAGATGGACAGACAAGGACTGTCCAGACAAGAAAACTAAGCCAGGAGGGATAGGGAAGTGGGAATTTGGAGAAGAGATGAGGAGACTGGGAGGGAGCCAGACAAACAAGAGTGACTAAAAGCCACTTAGCAAGAAGAGCCTGGGACTGGCTGAGTGGGAAAGGCAGGAAGATGGGTATGATAACGAGTGCATGTATAAGTGTCTGCGTGGGAGGTTTGGAAATTGCTGTGCAAAAAGCCTGAGAAAGATGTGGATCGGACTGAGTCTGGATGAGACACCTGGCAAGGGTGGCGGGGAGCCAGGGCCCTGCAAGCAGGGACTGCAGGGCAAAAATACTGAGGAAGGAAGAAAGCCAGGGTGCTGAGGAGGACAGCAGGACACTGCAGTTAGCATCTCTGCAAACCCTGATTTTCTTTTGCCCTTCGTCTTCCAGATAAACATGCCTTTGCACACACCAGTCAGGAAGGCCACATGTCCTGCTTTCAGGCAGGAAATTGGCCTAGATGACTGACAAAACCTCCTTCCAGATCTCTTTTCCTATATGCTCTCTCGACTACGTGGGAGAAACCACGTCCCTACAATTCCTCTGTGTGTGCACAGAAGGAGAATTAGCCCAAATGACCACATCTGCTGACCATTTAGTCATGTTTCATGATGAACTTGAAATCTGAGCCAAAGAACAGGTACCTCAGCACAACCCATACAAACTCCATGCAGTCATTGTTAGATCCAAAATCCCCCATTCCTAGACCAGCCACAAAATCCTGCCTATAAGCTTAGACGCCTAGAGGCAAAAGCTCATGGTTCAAGCAGTGACTCTGTGCCAGGGTCTGACCTTCTCCTTCCCATAGACTTCCCTGTACTCTGTTCTCAGGTGGTTCGTTGTTCATGGATGACAAAGCCACATGAGACCTCCGTGACCATTTTGTCCAAGCCCGTGAGACCTCCATAAGACCTTGCTGAATTCCCAAGCCCTCCCATGAAGTGCCACACATTACATCCCTCCTGGACAACAGGAAGAAAGCACCCCTCGCCCTGCAGTCCTTGCCTCCTGCAAGCATGAAGCGTGGGCCAAATGTGTGGACCACACACATTTCTCTGTCATGTGTACTGCAAGAAATAAAACAGCAGGACACACTTACATCATTTTCTAAGAAGTTGAACATGCTTCTTTCAGCCAGTTCCTTTGACTCTTCAAACTTTTCTACTGCTAGTTTGACTTCTTCATCTGGTATCTTCCCAAGACGCTTCTTTTTATAATCGTAATCCAAACGACGACCTTCCAGTTTCTTCAGATGATGCTAAATAAGAAAGAACACTTAGGAAGAGGTCAAACCAAGACAGACCCAAACACATCTGCTGTTATTTCTAAGTAGATTCCAGTTATAGAGGATGCAATTGCAGACACAGTCAGAATCAGAGAAACCAAAGATTGAAGAAATCGCAGAAATCATGCAACCCAATAATTACTTTTTATCGGTTCAGAAGAACTACACTTGAAAACAATCATGTATCACAGGAGACAGGTACAGACAGCATAACATTTTTTTGCTATGTTTTCCACATCCACTTACATTTAAGCAAAGAAAACAAACTCCATATCTACATTTCATCAAGGTTTTAATTTGCTTATTACCCAAGTCTATTGGAATCATTAGACTTGGACAGAGGCAGTGCCTGGCTTTCTTTTCCATTGCCATACTGTAAACAAAAGCACGGAAAAAAACTAACTCTAAAGGTTAAAAATGTGTTTTCCAGCACCCTGTAATTTTTCCCAGGGTGGTACATTGCACTCATGGCACTTTTCAGATCACTGAGTGGTTGCCCTGAATGACCTTTCCAAAAGTCAAATTCAGTCTCTATAATAGATTTAGGTAAACAGAGATGGCAAATTATGATAAACAGTTACTGTAAGTCACAGCCCACTCGCATGTTCACAGCAATTAATAAAATGTCAGTTAAAATAAATAGCGGTAGATAAGAATATTCATTTTCTGTCCTACCTTTCTGGTACAGAACATGATCATATAAGCAAACTGAATAAATTAGGCAACAGTGAGAAATAGTGAGATATTGCTTTTAAGTAGATCCATCACTGTTTTGCTAGACACTCGAGCATAAGCACAGTGAGGTAATAAGGCTTGTGCTTTCAAACTTTTGTTCCTGGGAACTAGAACTTCCCTGACCAATTTTTTGATAAGAAAAGCTTTACCCTGGAAAACTTACCCCAATCTCTTTTAAATCTTTGTCTTGCAGTAACTGTAGAGGATCAATGAAATTTTGTTTGACATTAATATCAAGCGAGTCTTTCACCTCTGCCATTTGTTTCATGCTTTCACCAACATCCAGTAGTGCAGTGCCTGCAGCAAAAAACACTCTACTTGTAAGTCAATATATTTAAAAAATAAAACACAAAATATGTCTTAGAAAGCAGTCCACGTCCTCTCCCAAGCCAGGGACTCCCCATTTCTCATGTTTCCTCTCCCTAGTTCTCTTGTCGTCCCATATCAAAAAGCACCCACTGAGTCATGTTGCAGTGGGGCTGCAGGTTCATGGCAGGTAAACCTGCACACCCTGCATGCTCCACAGGGCAGCCCTGGCTCCATATCCTGGCTGGGAAGTTCCAGTGTATTTTGAGAGAAAAATGGGTAAGATTTGATTTACCAAAGATTTGCAGCATGGCTGATTGGAGTAGATTTTCATACAAATGACAAAACATGTATTTGAAAAGCTCCAAAACCCACAGGCAGCAGATCACAGGAAAAAAAAAAAAAAAGAATATATATATTCTTTTACAAGAAGTAACTTATGGGATTTCTTCCCATTAATTTACTTCTCAAATATAGAGTAACAGGATTTTTTTTAAAAGCTAAAAAAAACACAGTGAATCTAAGAATCACCCTGACTTATTTAGGTTTGACAACTCAGAAACTAAGTATCTTAATAATATGAATTGTCAGACAGTATTAATAATATCATTATCACAACCACCTGCAGCAGACGCTTAGGTAAAACATGGTGTGTTGTTTATTAAATGAATCACTCCCTAATTACTCTTCTTGAACTTTCCCTCTTACCTGCAATGACTATGTACATCCATTACATCACTGAGTAATTTTACTCTGCAAAGAACATTATACTGAAATATTCACGGAGGAGATACACAAACTCACCAAACATAGAATCATCTCCAAGCTCTCTGCCATACCGTATCATGCAGTCTCCCAGGAGGCCCTCTGTCTGGGGATAGCCTGTGGTTTTAACTTGTCCTCTGATCTTTGACATAGTGTTCAGCATTCCCAGCTTGGCTCTGTATGCTGAGAAGTACATGAAAAAATGACAAAGTTATAACGTCATTTTATAAATGTACATTTAAATCAATAAATCACTTAAAAAGTAACGTCACTAAGGAACTGTTGGCCTGTAGAATTTTAAGCCTTTTAGTGCCAGTATTTCATAATCTAAGGTTGAAAGATGACTCCATTAGACAGCAAGGATCGTATGATACCGTTTTCAGTCCCAGCTGAATGAGCATCATTTCTCCAGGCAGATTTACAGTGGGACTTCTGCTGAGTTACCAAACACTTGCAAACTCTCTATTATAAATTCTGCAGAAAGCAAATGCAAAACACATACAAGTGCAACCAAAGTCAGTTCCACAGTGTTGCTTCTGAGAACTTTGCACCTTCTTTGCCCTTATTTTCCTCATTTCCTTAATCAAGACAATAGGACTTCATTCTGCAGAATGGCCTGATACATACAAACCAATTTACTGTTGTGTTGCACCTATGAGGAGAGAATCAGGTGATTATGCCTACAGTAGCTTTCCAACCTACTCCTTACTGTCATCAGCCATAAGCAACAGCCCTGGCAGGCTGTTCCTGAGGCGTGTGGGCAACAGTCACGGGTTGCATCTTGAGCAACCCAGCTGGGCCTGGGCAAACACTGACTCCTGTCACCCTTAGACAGGCAGGACTCACTAAACCCTCCTCCAGGACACAGACTCCCCAACAGAGAGCTCTCCCTGAAGCCACTGGGACTAGGACTACACACGATAGCCTGACAGGCTGTTCTCCTCAAAAATGCAGGTCCTTCCAACAGCTGACCTAAACAATCCATCTATCTCCTAGCAGATAAATTCAGTTACCCATTGTAAATCTAAGCGTGCCTCCTTTCCTTTTTTTCCCCCCCTCAAAACAGCATTTGAAAATCTCTACTAATATGTCTAGGACTCTTAGGTCACTAACACCTGGTAGAGCCCCTAAGAAGCAAACTTTGTTCGAAGGCGATCACGGGGGTGGAAAAGTAAGAGTCGACTTCCCCATGAACAGACAAGCAGCAGTGTCCCCAACAGCAGCGCTGTACGTGTTAAACTCGACGCCTTTCTTTTTTATTTTTTAAATCTCTGCTAAAGAAAATGTTGGCTCTCTCTTTGCTTCAGGGATCCATATCCCACTCCAGGAAACGCAGCGCAAGTGGGAACGCAGGTGCTGTGCTGGGCGTCCGGCTGTCCCAGACGCCGTGCGCGCACGGCTGACGTGCCCAAGAGGCCCCGGAGCCGGGACGTGTCCAGCTCGCGGCACGCACAGCAGCCAGGCTGCACGGGGAAGGGTGTTCAGGCCTTCCAGGAGCCTCGGATTAATGACCTAGTTAGCTCTTATCCACCTGGGACGAATCGCTAAGGAAGAGGATAACGTCCGGCAAAACCTGACATAAGTCATTCCTTGCCTTACCTGGATTTGGCTGGAGATACTCTGTTGATTTGGATAGAAGCTCAGCTACAGCTTTATTAGTGACATCAATTTTCTGAAAAAAAAAAAAAAAAAAGAGGAAGGTAGCAAAAATCTATGACTAGAAAGCTTATCCTCTTGGTAGATACTATATATTGCTCTCTTTGACTATGAAATTTTATTTAAAACAAATCATATATGACAACTTAGAATAAAACGCCATGTCACAGCTGTGTCAGACACCAAAAGGTATTAATTAGCACATAGTACTGGAAAGAGCAGAAAGTTTGTATCAAAATGTAGGGATCTCCTTCCTCTTCAAAACCATTAATCATGAGTACTGCTTATAAAGCTCAGACTACAACTTTCCTGCCAGCCCAAGAGTTGTCACTATGACCGTTTTTCTCCAGAGGTGCAAAATGCTGAAAATATCCCAGCTCACAGTCCTGGGGTCAGTGCCATTTAATGTAGTAGTTTGCACTGTCTTCCCATCTGATAGCATCTTATGTGCTATAAAAATCACATTTCTGGGTTGCTTCTCTTTCCTCCCTTAGAGCTTGCACATTATTTTTCCTCCTATAATACAGAGGAGCAAAGAGTTATTCTGAAGCCAAAGAAACTGAAATCTAGAAGCATGTTTAGACCATAAATCCAGAAAGTGTGTGTTGGAAAACACACTCACACAAGACATTTTTCCTTAACCTGCCAACAGTAAAAGCTGTGACCTATGTCTACTATGTACATTAAAAATACAGGAAGAAGACAAGGGCAATGAAATAGCACACAAAAGCTGAAAAAGCAGACTCTGGGAGTACACTGTATAACTCATAAATGACAGTACTAACAAGTGGTTAAAAAATACCTCTATTTCCACAGCAAACCATGGCAGTTTCTGGACACTTATTTAAATTAACAAATACAATTCTGTAGCAAGGGAAAATTTGGCTCCTATAGCTCGATTTTTATCAGGAAAAACATCAGATAGGATGGGGTGCACTTATGACAACTCACTAAACACCAAAGACCTCTCTCTAGTCCAGCACAGGTAGCAGAGAAAAACAGATTTTTGATTCCACAGTAGTTGAATGTGGAAAAAACAACAGTGCTTTCCTTACCCTTTCCATCTCCTGGAATTCTTCATCTAATTTTGTTCCTTCTGCCCCACTTATCTTTTCGCTGAACAACTGTGAAAAGAAAACAGAAAAAACAAATGCATCACTATTTTATTAGAGAATAATCCAAGAACCACAGAAATGTCTTCCGAAGTAGAGAACAATCCACAACCATTTGAGGCAGCTACATGAGAGAAGAGCAATCCTCTTCCTGGAAGGGAAACGCAAGTTCCAAGAGGAAAACAGCCGACAGGAATTCACAAAAAGGACACAGAACAAAAAGACAAGAAGTGAGAGAAGAGCAATCCTCCTCCTGGAAGGGAAACACACGTTCCAAGAGGAAAACAGCCAACAGGAATTCACGAAAAGGACACAGAACAAAAAGACAAGAACCTCCTGGGTGCTTAACCAGGCAGCAGCCTCGTGGCACACGCGGCAGGGCAGGTTTTGGGCACGGGGACAGGCACAAGGAGGCTCCGCTGGGACTCACAGGCTCCCGGCCTGCTCTGCCGGGGTCCTCCCTCCTGCAGCAGCCTCCGGACGGGTCCGTGGCCTCCCCAGACCATCCGCTGCCCTCCCCTTCCCAGGGCGAGGGCGGCAGGACACGGCCCCTCTCCCGCTGAGCTGTCACATCCACCTCCATAGGTGGCTCATTCCAAATCATCCATTTAGGTTCTGGCAAAGGATAAATGTTGTGGGGCTACAATGACTGCTGGATGGAGAGGCGTAATTCATAGTGAATTACTGCATCAAATGAATAAAATAATGCAAGGCTGCACCCTTGGAGAGAATGGAGCTGGGCATTATAACAAGAAGCACAGACCTCTAAAGCAACCTGAACGATGCACAGCTGAATACAGCAGCAAAAAGACTGATCAGAAAAAAAAAAAAAAGAAGAAAAAGGCCAAACACTTCCCCAGTTCCATGCAAACAGTAATGATTGAGGAGTTTCTAGCCAGACCCTCTTTCAACCACAACTGCCCTGAGCTCTAGTTTCCTTCCAAAAACAGCGAATAAGCAGAGAGGTAGGGTAAAGAAACATTCCCTAAAGCCTATAAACTGCTGAGCTCCACACAGCAAGAACTGGTATATGATTCGAATGGCCACCATGCAATTTTACCACCACAGTTTATTCCACATCGGCCTGATCAGGCTGCACTTTACTATTCTGACATTAGAGGAACACAACAGCTTTTGTTCTGATCATACTGAATTTAGGAGTCGTAAAGCTAGTGCTACCACTCCCCAATCAAAAGCCAAAGGATACCCAATTAATTATTGAAAATAGATGCACAAAGGAGACAGCTGCTGAATTTCAGCTGTCTGACTATTTGATAAGCATCATTTACGCAAATTTTATCAAGCTGCAAAATACTCTGAACTTAAATAGAAGCTTGCTCAGTGGTGGAGCTGTGTAATTATGAGACAATATCTGTCAGTTTTCACGAGTCAGCTAATCGAAGGCATTACTACCACCACTTGAGACACGTATTCTGTGAGAGCTTGGCACTACTTGTTTGGGGAAACCCAAACATGGAGGAACCCACGGGCTGGGGAACCAGCTCCCATTCACCAAGGTGCCAGGGTCTGAGGTCTCTGAAAAAGAACATTTCACATGGTGGAGGCCACCAGCACCTTTCTGCTCGACTGCCAGCGCTGAAACTAGGGCCATTCTGCAGTGAGGCTACCCAGGGCTCTCCCGGATCAACATTTCTGCCCAGGGAATAGCTCCACACCTGTGAAATACTTCCTTCTCTCCGTGTCCCTGTCACTCCCTCCATCCCATTGGACTTCACAGAGATCGTGAAGCTGGGGGAAAAAAAGCCCCTCAATAAAAATACAATATCCCCACAGGTCCTGGCAAAACCTGTGCGCAACGACGACCTCTGCACGGGGAAACCCGCGGGGGCAGGAGGCAAACGCGCCTTGCTGGAACTGCCCGCTGGATCCTGCCGAGCTCACACGGGAAAACTAACTATGATCTTGTCCTCCACATAACGCACAAGTCTCTGGTGGGCTGGCTGTGGAATTTCCTTGGGAAACAAACCTGAGAAAGAAACAAATCAGTTCTGAAAGAAACCCCCTCAAATTACTGTGATCTCTAATTGAGCTTTGTACATCCATTTACTGTTGAAAAGGCAAACTGCCATTTGGCTGTACATCCTCACAAAAAAATGCAAATACTCATCTTCTAAGGAGTTTATATCCTCAGAACTTCTCATGATAAATCTTCTTCTTCCATAAACATAATAATTAGATTTTGTTCTCGGACTAGTTCTCAGCTATTCTTACTTTTTTGAGATAATGGGATTTGCTTTTGATTTGTGCTGCTGCAATGAGGCAAGAACAGAGAACATGAACTGTCTGCATTTTAAAGCAAAATGTACAGCTCACAAAAATTCTGCACTAAAAAGGCCTAAGGCTTCCACCTAATTTTTCAATATTTTATTCAAACTATGTAAAGATTTATACTCGTTCTTGCACAGGAACCGTACACTTCTCCCTTCTCATACGGATTGTAAAAATGAGCTTCAGGAAAATACGGTCTAATAACAGCACTGCTTTGTATTTCATATCCACTCGCTTTTGAGTGCAAAATTTTTCATATTTCATTAAGGAACTTTACTGAGCACCGGAAACTGCCAAGGACATCCCAGATCAACAGACAGCTGACAAAACCCTCAAAACAATCACCCTATTTTTTATATATCCACTGGGTATTTTATAACACAAGTCAATCTGAGACTTGCCAGCCAATACCTGCATACATTTCCGCCTGCCCTTTTCCCTTATTTTGCCTTTCTTTTGGAGCAGCCCTAACCCGGGATTCACCCATCACACTTTGCAGCTCTTCAGCTTCACTTGTTCCAACAGTAGCTCATGGAGCCCTTCATTAGCCAGCAAAACTCTCCCTGTATAAAACTCACCAAGAAATCACCAAATATTATTTAATGACTGGAAGAAAGATATCCTAGTCTATTAAAGACTTGTTAGCTTTTCATGGTTCTTCACCAAGTAACTGCAGTTATTTTATCCTGAAGGAAATATCTGTTGAAACTTTAATGGAATGGAAAATTCCTATATTTGTCATAAATATGCACACTGTCAAACCCATGAGGCAAAATCTACATTTCAGGAGAGCTCTTTTAGCAAAAAAAGCCAAAGCTATGGAAACACTCTTCATTTCTCTTCCTCCCTCTAGGAATGAAATAGGCAATCAGTGGGGAAAACTAAGAGATTCCTCCCAAACTTAACATGCAGAAAGCCAGGAAATAATAGAGCTAGATGGCCATATTTCCCACAGAAACATAGCATTACTGGTCCAACTGCACTAATATATTAAGACATACCTTTAAATCCAGTATTCAGTACAAAATACTACATTCCAGTATGGCTGATGCACAACAGTTACGCCTTTCTTAACAAATCATTAAAACTTTCAGTTATGGCCCTGCAGCCATGTAATTGTTTGTTTGGTGTTAAATTATTATACATGGAGGACTTAATGCAACTTGACAATACTAATGGCTTTCTGAAGGCTCTTATTAAAGGCTATCATAAACACAGGAGGAACAACACAGCTGGCAAGGCATCTTCTGGCTAAAGGAAAACTGCAGTGTTCAACCTCCTGAGCAGAGAGAGGCTGTATTTTTTCCCCCAGAAAGATTATTTATATTAGGGAACCCAAGTTGCCAGTCTGTGTTCTAGATCAAAAGTAAATTAACTTCAAATATCCCCAATTGCCTGTTTGGTGCTTCCAAGTCCCACTGCAGGGCTACGCACCCTGCTTGCGTCTCCTCCGTCCCCCTCGCTGGGCTTTACCCACATTGCCAATGGTCACGCTCAAAACAAAAGCCCCTGCCGCTCTGTGCAGACTGCCAAGAACCTGAACCTGAGGCACAGTCTTCTTGAGGACATATTTTAATGCAGTCCATGATTTGTGACCTACTAGAGCAGATGGAGGCAGTGCCACCTGCACAAACTCTCCCGTGGGGCTGGAGAGCTTTTGGAGCATCCTTGATGGGGTGAGCACGGAGGCTGAGGGGCACCTGGGACTGACTTCCAGGGACCTGCAGTGGTCCAGGGACTCGGATGGCAAGCAAGGTGCCTGGCATAGCAGAGCCAAGCTCAGACGCACGTTTTCAGACTCCGACCCAAATGGAGACAGGAAAACATGGCACTTTTCTCCTGGAAGAGCTGCAGAAGATGCTGAAACCAGCCCAAAGCCACCGCAGCCTCTTCAAGCCTCTCCTCGTGTTCCCAAGGCCTCCCCAGACCAACCTGCAGACACTAAAAACAGAGACCCCGCTGCACATGCAAGTGGGCAGTATGTGCCCACGGAAGATTTCTTCAGGCTCCCACGAAACGTGAACAATGAGGAAAGAAAGTAAAAATTATAAAAATGTACCAGTACTTGAGGCTGTTCTTCTAATTATATTGACAGAGCTCACACTAGCCTAATGCTTTGGAGAAAATCCAGCAACCTCTTATTTTAGAGGCTAAGCATTGAACGATGGCAAAAACTCTTTGGTTGCCTCTGTATGTTGTGTTTTCAAAGAAAACAAGAATATTCTTGCTCTGATTTACTTGAAAGGGAAAAAATAATTCAGAACCACAAAATAAATAAAGGATCCACTGCAAAGTGAATGCAGGTTTCAGTCGTGCAAACACCAAGCACTCTGGCTTGCCTGCAGCAACACATTTAAGGTTGTACTTAAGTAGGTGCTTAAGTTTTGCTGGATCGAGGCCGGTGTGCTCAGCACCCCGCAGCACGAAGCCCCTGCAGGCCCTCACCTTCACAGGGCACAACTTGTTTCCACTGCTAGGCTCTCAGCTAGCACCAGCACTGATCTCTCCAGAGCACGCAGGGAACAGCCATGGAGATTTCTGAGAAGATCAGAGAGAACTGCTTTTCAAAAAATTAATCAAACAACGGAACTGGGTCCTACTGCTATTGAATTAAAATTATGGAGTGCCAGAAGCTGTACGCTGGAAATTAAATTCTTGTTATTGCTCTCATGGCTACATGAATGGTATAAAATACCACACTGAATTCAGCAGTGCTTGTACATGAGTATTTA